AGCTTCTATAATAAGAGTACCATTACTACAAATATATTTCAACATGTCTGCTTATAGCCTGAAAACGCAATTCTTTCCAAGTTGTTAATCTGGGCACAGCATTACGCCTACAGCTGTATTACTACCGCAAAGGAAAACATTCGATACTTTACTGGTAAATGAAAAACAATGTAATTTAGACTTTTTGTAGCCTTACTAAATTTTCGTACAAGAAGGCTATCGTCATTTACTATAAGTTTCTGCACTTTATTGGCTCTTGTTAGCAAATTTGCTACAACTATTTAATTTGCCAGTCTCCGTAAAAATATAACTATGTTTTAAACACTATACAATAACCAGAAATTAAAATTTTATTTATAATGTAAATTATCACGTATTTAGATAGCATGTATGGTTAAGTTGTGAATTGTGAGTAAACAATAAAGGTATTACTGTAATGATAAAAGTATTATTGAGAATTTTGTATGACAGTCTTTGAACGTGGCAGATTTATTGAACCTATTTAAGACTAAAACTATGATGTAGGCAATTCTCAATTACTTGTTAAAAGCACGCGAGAGAAAATTTAATATTGAGATTTGTGATAATTTGTTTTTTATAACTGTAAACAATAAATATAATTATTTGGCCGGACTAAACAATAATGCCTCCAAACTTACGTCTTTATGCAAAAGTAATAACATGGCCTAAAAACTTTGCCCATTAAAGAGAAATGACAATGTCTTTGCGAGAAAGTTTACATTTACGTTGTGATGTATGCCATTATTTTTCTGGCTAGCTGAAATGATGCTGCCAGCAGACATCCGTTTAGAAAATTTCCCCAATCCATAGCAATGGACCTTTATCGAAAAATAAACATACAAACTTAGGGTAAATGATTATTTAGGAACGACGTATGCAAACAAATCGATTATCCAAAGCCCAATTTGTGGTTACTAATTATCGTTTATGGGTTTAATAAGCTAACTCTCAAGATCTATTCCTCGCATTGTATATAATTCGACACATTCAAGTGATAGTGACGTTATATATGCGCCGTCATCAAACTATAACTACAAAATAATGTAAAAAAAAACAACAACTATTTTTAGAGACAAAAGCTCTACAGCTCTATCATATAATAACGAAAAGATGTCAGATATGTGTAACAATTGGAGACCTTGGGCTCTGTTCATTTGTCTCAGCAGTCAAATTTAAATAATCCACATTTATATATATTAATATATCAAATTCGATTAATGATGTAGTTGAGATTAAATACGTCTTATTTGATAATCTAACGTATCGATATCAATCGACTTGGAAAGATATAGAGAATATGTATTAGATGATGATAATGTTATGATTTATAATCGGGTGACATTTCTTTACGCGTTTTAAGATTTTTGTTACAACAATATTTTGTGGATACGAAGCATACCGCGATAAGAGTCGAGTTTTTGACTTAAATGACAAAATATGCGCTATATAGCAATATGTTTCCATATTACATATCGTCGTGTACGCGTAACCTTGTTTTGTCAATTGTGTTAATATGAGCCCAGCAAAGCCCAAGCCCCCAAAACAAAGTTTTGTTCCGGTTACAACATAAGCGTTATAAAGTGTACTGCTAAGTCAACGAATTGTAAATAAATTTGACATACAAAGTTTAAAAATTTTCATACAAGCATAATATTCTGGACACTTTTTCCCCATATTTTTCCTTTTCACTAATGCTAGCGATAACGATGTGCTAATAAAAAGAAAGTCTACAATGGGGGAAATTTCAACGGCGCTCTAATGACTGGTAGATTGAGTGCGTCTTTGCAAATTCGGAATCGAAGGCTGGCTTATTCCAAAATATATTTTTCAAGAATTTCTTTGACCACGCCTTCAAAGAGAGAGATAAGCCTTGTCCAACATTTTTTGGGTCTTCAGCTTTTTGTAATATTTTCTCAAATTCTTGATCTCTTGGCATCTTTTTTTCAGTGTATTAATCTTCTGATTTTATTTTCATTTTTCATGCCCGTTAAATTCTAGTACAAATTTTTACACATTTCTTGAACCATTAGAATGAGCGTAAGTTTTATAAGTTTTTGATGTATAAAGAGTATACAGTAAATCATTACTAGTGTTAACACAAAATATGTGTATAAATTTTACCATAAATTCTTGTTCTAATTTCCCAATTCGTTGCTGATGACTTGTCTGGCCAAAATTTCCCAGGACAACTCTCTAATACGCGCAAACATTGCTTTTACCTAGAGATTATCTCTTATGAGTTTTCTTCCTAGCTTAATCATATCGCTCTCGATTTGGTCCGAGCTAAGAGGAGGCTCTTTCTTATTTGCTTTTACATCCGAAAGATTGTATAATACCCCAAAAGCATTCAAAATATAATGCAACATGTTTATCAGTACATATGCAAAGTTATCATTTTGTGCGGCTGTCACGCCAATAAAACTCTGTCTGGTACTAATTTTCTACATAATAGCATACTAATACCTCTCAATACCCCCAACAGGCAATAAATCTTCTCGGCATCAGTATTAGTATTAGGGCATGATAAACTACATTACTGCATAATAGTCTATAGCTTAAATATTCCTTTACTGTTAAACAAGTGGGCTACTTTTCGGTAGATGTCTTTCAACAAACCATATAATGTCATTATATAATGAGGTTTAGCCGTTTATGACTACGAGACAATACCTGTGAATAAAATTATAAAAGTTTTGTTGACGCAAAGACGCGTTTTGGCCCATTCTGAAATTTGACCAGTTTCGGGATGTCACTGGTTGCTTCTATTTACTACATAAAATGTATTGTGTTGGCATCCAAATGTAATTTACCGGTGCATGGTATTATTGTAATGTGACAATCCCGAAACGGGCCAATTCTCAGTATAGACCAACATTTAGAAAGATTAGAAAGATTATAGAGATGAGGTCCTAATATCATTGATAGCCCAATAGCGCATGTAATTTTACATAGCGATAGTAGCTTTAATATTGTAATGTCACATAAGCGACTTAACTTTACGACATATGCCAATTCTATTTTTCAGATATCAGTTCAGCAAGTATAGTGACTTGCTCAAGTCATGAAAACAAACAAGTGTTTCGTGTCCTTTATTAGGCGCAACTAAGGTGGACCTCTAAAGCTGCTGAAAACAAACAAGTGTTGATCTTAACTAGTATAAATAAGTTCAATGGGTGAACTCATACGTAAGCATATGCTTATTTAGTCGTAAATGCGTCTGTTATGCATGGAAGTCCGGGCCACTTTTTTATATACTGCTATATTTGTTTCATATTAAATGGATTAAATTTCTACTAATACTAAACGCGATGATGCAAATCTATTCTTTACATTGAATAGAGCAAACTGTACGTAGCAGCCGTTTCTACAAGTTTCGCTATGTCGATTATATTTGCCACAATTAAATAAATCCGTGCGATGTTAAGAAGCAATACTTTTCAGTAAATATTAATAAAAACCAGTCATGCGCTCGACATGTTGCTATTCTTTCGGTACCGTAACTTGCTCGAATCATTATGGCATGCGATTACCATAATAATTATTCAACTTCCATTTTTAACGTTTTCATAAAAGTCTTACTTGGCTAGCTTTATGCATAAATGCGGCACGATTTTTTGAACTGATTTTAAGTAGACTATCAGTAGATGCAAATAGCTCGTTTGGAATGTCAAGCCTTATTTGACGACAAGTTAATATAATATTCTTTTACTATTGTTTTAATAGAAGCTTGCAGTGCGTTTGGTTAGATTAAATATCAGAAAAGTTTTCTATCATGTTCTCCTTTCTAATTGCCCACCTTTTTTCTTAAACAAACAATGTTGGAAGGTCAGTTTGGATTATCGCTCTGTCTATATTTCCTTGAAAATACATATCATTTTATGACTTGGGTGTTATCAATCGCTTTTCAGCCAAACGCTACTGTTAGTAAACCGTAACCTAACATTACGAGTTTATGTCATCAACACCATTTTATATTATAACTATTGCTTACTTTTCGATTTGCACAAGTACTATAACCTGTTTTATTAATATTAAGGCTATTACATAGCGGTATATAAATTATTGGATGAGTTGGATAATCACATAATTTGTGCGATAATCGTATATTAATATTTGTTTTAAATTAATGCTGCAATCAATTTAGCTGACTTTTTTATACAATTTCTACGTTACGCAGTAATTATCATATGAGCAACAGATTATTGCATTAATATTATACTTTTATGTTGTCGTTATAATTTTGCTTAAAACATTGATATTGTCTGAATGACAGAAACGGCATTTTCTGTATAAATACTTTTCGGTATCTCCACTTTCTCATTAATAGTTTACCATTCTCTTGAAACAATCTCTTGATTGTTTGTAAAGTTTTGAACTTTTTCAATTCCAATAAGCAATGGGTATCCGTTTAAAAATTGATATCGCGTCTATCTGTGTAGGAAATAGTAATGACAAAACAAAAATACGTTAAAAACCATTCGAAATATTCACAATTATTGCAATCGATTAATAGACGGTTTACTGTTTCAAAATTAAGAGACCTAAAATAAAAACTGATTAAAGCCAAACGGATTTTTTTGCACAATATTTATTTAAATATTTTTTACTATCTATAATTTGTCTTTATATTCACTGGAATCGAAAGTAACCGAACCACTAAATTCAGTGTAAAGTCTAATACAATGGTGTAGTTGTTTAATTAGTCTAATTTTGCAGCGAGTAAACAATTAAATTATATCATACAGCATTTAAAGCCTAAAAGCAATATATTTTACTGATGTAAAGTTAATAATATATAGTCTCAATATTTCTGCAATATCTTTGTAAAGTTTTCGTTTCGTTGAATATATTAAATATTACAAGATTATCAAATTATTACTCTTTAATTATAAAGCTTCCCAGTTTACTAAAAATTTTGGTATTTTCCAGTTTTCAAGCTTTTTGAAATGTCTCGGTGGAGCTTTTTCTGTGAGCGTATTTCAGACTGCTTTGCATGCTTCCTGCTCCAAGACGTTCGTGTCGTGCTTAGATGGAACCACTTTCTAGTAAAATAACTTTTCGAGTTAAACTTATAAAGGCATAAAATAAAGAAGACCAAAAGACAAGCTTTTGTTTTATTTACATGACATGAATGGGACCAGAACTGTAGCTTATATACATGCTATAGTAAATAGTCTTTTCAGATGTATATGTTTTAACAATGTAACTTCTGACATGTCCACTATGATTATAATTTGTGTACGCAACTGCCCGGACAAAAAGATTAGAATAAAATTCTGGTTAAATTTACTGAAATAGCCAAAATTTGAAGGTTGTTTGCCTGCTAACAATCAACGGCGAGCCATGGAGGTGTGTAATATGTTAACCGATTTGCTGACATATTGGCATTTGAATCCAAATTTGCACTCCAGCCAATAAAACTTCAGATGTCGGATCACGTTCTATTTTTTCCATTCTTGTAGTTATATTTTTATGCATATATACGGTATATTCGGGCGATCTTGTAAAACTAGCCAGAGGGCATTAATGAACCACATTAGTTATATGCATCAAACGTGCACATCAGATTGTCACTGCAATGAAAATTGTCTTGAACGTATTAACGCACCGAGTAGCTGTGTCGATTGTACTTGACTATTTCACAATCTTAAGTTTTCCCCCAAGGTGTATAATATGCCATAGAAAAATAGTTGCTGAGTTTACTTGTCTGTTTATGACCTTATAAGCTAATTTACCCCATAGATTCATTTATGCGACGTATTGGGGGACGAATACAATATAAAATAGAGTCATCAAACATACTGTCTTATTAATCAGCCGAATTAATGTTGTTTGATATTAGTATATACAGTATAACAAAATTTTATTGCACTCCTAGTGGATAATTGAACCCGCAAGAAAAAAAGAAACATGTACATCTCAACATCAAATAATCGTCGATTAAGGTACACGCCGAATATAGTTCTCGGATTAGTTATCCTTATAACATTACTAATGGATTCCAATAATAATTGAGGTAACTATTGTCAAAAATTTCTCCCATATGTCCATTTTCGCCTTAATATTAGCAGAAGAAAAAGTAGGGGTATCAGAAGGAGTGGAAGTAGGAGTAGCAACAAAAGAAGTAGTAATAATTTGAGGTTGAGGTTGAGGCGGAGGTTGAGGTTGAGGTTGAGGTTGAGGTTGAGGTTGAGGTTGAGGCGGAGGTTGAGGCGGAGGTTGAGGTTGAGATTGAGGTTGGCAGGATGGGTCACCACTTCCACAGCACGGATCACCACTTCCACAGCACGGATCACCACTTCCACAGCAGGGATCAGTACTATTACAACACGGATCACTACTTCCACAACACGGATCACTACTTCCACAGCAGGGGTCACTACTTCCACAGCACGGATCATTGCTATTACAGCACGGATCACTACTTCCGCAGCACGGATCACTACTTCCACAGCACGGATCACTACTTCCGCAGCACGGATCACTACTTCCACAGCAGGGATCAGTACTATTACAACACGGATCACTGCTTCCACAGCACGGATCACTGCTTCCACAGCACGGATCACTACTTCCGCAGCACGGATCACTGCTTCCACAGCATGGGTCACTACTTCCACAGCAGGGATCAATACTATTACAACACGGATCACTGTTTCCACAGCACGGGTCACTACTTCCACAGCACGGATCATTGCTATTACAGCACGGATCACTACTTCCGCAGCACGGATCAGTACTATTACAGCAAGGATCATTGCTATTACAGCACGGATCACTACTTCCACAGCACGGGTCACTGCTTCCACAGCACGGAGAAATGCTTCCGCCAACGCAACACGGATCGGTAGGGTCGTTGCATCTATAAAATTTATGTTGTTATTTAAGTTACAGTAAAAAAAAGAGACGAATTTTTAGCATGCAAAAGAAACCTACTGCTGCGGTGTAGATATTGAGCCGACGACTAAACAAGCAGCGAGAATAAATAGAATGTATACTTTATTTGTAATGACCGCCATATTGTAAGTCAGGGGTAATTTTTAAAAATCGCAGCCGTCGCTCGACCATATTTATACTCTATGATGTACTGATGTTGTCCAAACTGAGGGATTGTTCACAGAAAGAGAACGCGCGAGATTTACCTACAATTCTGTTGATAAGATCTCGCGCTACTCGGCAGAACCAGATTAATGAATAAAGAGAACAGTAATAAACAAATTCGGCCAAACTTATTTTCCAAGCGTATATGAATTGTATAAACGGAATGAGTTTATGACTGGAAAATACTATGAACAAGATTAATGTTGTAAAATACTTTAATATGGGCGATACGTAAAAACAAACAGATCATGTACTGCGACTTCCAAAGCTATTACTTGATGAGATTACCTTTTTGCTTGGCACGAATTCTTCACTCGTTTAATGTTGCCTCGATGCTATCCCCCTTTTTCCGCGGTTGTATAACACTTATGATAGTCATATTTGTGTCTACTATCAATATTTCTATTTTTGCAGCAGCTTATACTGTCAGCCAATTTTCCTGATTAGCGTTGTCTTTACGTACTGATGTGTAGGTTACAGACCAAAAAAAAGAAATTTTTATTAATTTATCCGAAAAATTTTTTTCCTCGTAGATATGCGACGACGCACATTTTATTGACACCTAATAATAAGTAAGTTTCACAGGCGTGTGATTAACTGTATTGCATATTCTGAAACCGAGATGCTTGCATTTTATTCTACGCACTTGATATAATTCAGAAAAAAAAAAAGAAACATAACGTTGTAAGAGAAAATATATAAAAACTGCGGAAACTTGAGAAATCTTTTACTAGTCTTTATTGAACAATATAAATCAAGCAAGACAAAGCAGACAGTGTAACTAAAAATTTCAATTTGGGTCTCCTTATTTGGCTTCATACAATATTTCGGAAACCGATACCGATAATCGAAACAATCGAATACCTTTAATTCCCTGCAACCTATGCACGACAATGCATGATATATAGATCAACATAAGTTCGTACAAGTATATGCACATCACCCATTGATCCAATCAGAAGCAAAACGGTTTTGCGTGCGCGAAATCCAATATCTTACAAAAACGATACGTAGGAAAAAATGAGGACAGCTACCCCACATCGTTTCCTGTATACGGACAAAATCATAACTCTTTTTCATTTATCGTCTAACATACTACCAAGAAGTAGCATACTAATACTAATGCACTTTTTCTGTCCCGTTTATGTAGGCACATTTTTTGATCGCTGAATGCTTATCCCTTAAACTGTTGGCCATTTGCAGGCAAATTTGCCTGCAATTTTCAACCTCTCTTTTTTTGACTATGTCACTATGCTACTCACATTTGACTCCATAGTACAACTTTTATGTTTAGATATGTAATTTAATATATTTCAAACTACAGCAAACAGATGCATCTAGAAGGAACGATATACATATGATTACAGCATGAACTGAAAATTTAACGAAATTTTCACTATTTTTGTATTTTTTTAATAATAAATGGGGCATGCTGCAACAAAACCAGACAAAGGCGGGCTGCCATTTTTTGGGCAATGACATTTGGGGCATTTTTTAGGTTTAGTCGGTGCTTCGTGTTGAAAGCCAACTTTACCAGTACAACCATAAATTTTAGGTTGACCATTAGTTTCTTGAACATTTGACTATGTGACATAAATGAGGGATTGATTATGATGTGGCTGCAAAATTGACCAGTGTGACTGATGGCGTTTCGAAAAGTAATAATGGTGCTCATGGCTTGTTATTTTAATGCTCACCTTATCATACCAGAAGGTGATGAATATAAACCATAACATGATTAATATAGGATTACCTCTATATATAAAATATTAATATTTACATTAAACCAAAGATTTAAAATACTCATTTTTGATATTGATTATTGGTGGGCTTTTTTCCTTCTTAGCATCCCAAATACTAGGGCTGTAATCCCTGATGCTATAAAAGCATTGCTGGAATTAATAATAATGGAGATATTTTGTTTGAGCTTTTTTCTTTTTCTTCTTCTAAGTGTTGTTTAGTTTCAGTCAATTCTCTTGATGATTTGATTACTTCTTGACCTTTATCCCTCTTACCCCAAACTCTGGCATATTATTTAGTTTTTCTGCAATTCTTTCATTTTCCATGGTGCCAACTGGCTGGTTATTTTGAACAGGCCTGCCTTCATTTGGCATTCATCATCTTTCCATTTTGTATTTAGGAAAGAAAGTAAAACATAAGTCACGTTCTTTGCTTGATAAAGTTTCTCCCTTTTCTTGTTCTACAAGTTTGCCTGCTTGTCCTAAATTACAACCAATAAAAAAATTATGGCAGTAGTGGTATATTTGGAGTCTATACAGACTCCAAATATACCACTTAGTTCAGACTATAACTATTCCATGTGTCATAATCTAATTTTTATGACACGGACTAAGGTGTCGTAATCCAATTTTTATGACACAGACTAGAGATGT